GCTTGTATATGCGAATGGTATAATAGATAATGGCTCGGAATTGTCAATCGGAGAGCCGAGATCGAATTCCAGTGGAATATATTATATTCACTTTAAGCGCAAATATCCTTTGGACAGCTATGTATCCAATATGCTTCTTCCTCCAGTTATGTGTTAATTATTAAAACTTGTTTCACTAAAACATTATTATCCACCACCACCAAAAAAAAAAAAAACTTTTCAAAATACAGTAGAATCCTTCATATCCGGAATCCCTCATATCCGGAGTGCCTCATATTCGGAATCCCGCATATCCGGACATGATTCTGATGTGTATATTTGAACTATTTGGGTGATATGTAACTGATATGAAATTTCTGTGTTTTAGGAAGTTTACTTTGGATAATTGCATATTTCACCCTGTCTTCTAAGGTGCAAAAGATGATGGCAATAAGACGAAAGGATGACAACGAGGCACATCTGCAACAAGATAGTGATGAGATGCATGATTGTAATTAAACCTGGACTGAAATTTAAAAAGATATTGTAAAGGTTGTCAGTTTTATGGAAAGAAAGCCAGCATTCAGCTATGACGATTGCAGTGTCTTTCGTTTAAAAAAAAATTCAAGAACAAAAGCGAAACGAAATACTGAAAAAGTTGAGAATGACATTAGAAGAGAAAGAATCATCATGCAACAACGATTTAAAAAAAACCTCGTTACATTATTTGTTTTGCATACGTGGCATACTTTAATTTAATGAATTTTCATTAATTTAAATAAGAATTTTTTGTCCTAAAATCAACATATTTCACTCTAACCATAAGTTATTTCGTTGACTATAAAACAATGAAAATAAATGTTAAACCTGATTTCAGTTCTTTTATTTTCATCTAAATATAACCCCTAATATCGGGACTTAGTTCGTTTGTCAGGGATTCTACTGTATTTAGAGTTCGACCTTAAATAACCCATAGTGGTGTTGATATAAAGAAAACGAAAAATAAATGTTAAAAAACCTTGAACGTTTCAGTTCTTTGAAATTTTAAAAATCATTTAAAATCTAACATTAACCTATATTTACCGACATAATGTCCATCGGGATCATCATCAGAACGTTTCGACAGTTTGTTGTTCTTTTCAGGTTTATTCATTTCTAAAGCCAATATATATTTAATTGTAGACTTATCAAGTATTTCCTTTATTGCTGGAGTTGGTGGATACCTAACCCATAGTAAATTATTTACATATTATGGTTTTTTTTTAAAGTTACTAACGAACAATCCTTTGAAATTACGATAAACATTATTCACGTGAAATTACATCGAGAATGTTGATCCTTTGAAAACTTGGTGGTGAACGTCCGTCCGCTTCGCTAGATTTAGTTCTGTTACACCGAAATCTATAGAATCATTATAAAGAATTTAAAATCTAGCTTGCTTAATACCTCTTTAACACTAAATTGTTTATTTTGGTCCATAGCTAACCGTTATAAAAGTCCACATGCTTCATGATATTTATTTCGAGAACGTTTCGTTTATTACTAGATTTATAGCCATTACCAGATTATCGGCGATAGACAGGTTAATGTCACAAATTCATTTATTTTTTTTCTTTTTATATTGGAAAACCATTCTATGGCTTCATATTTTTAATTGATAGAACTTTTTTTATGTATTTGAAAGAACTTTAAGGATGCTTTTGCTGATTTTACTGATATTATTTTTGGTTGGTTTAAGTAATCGGCATTGGGAGGAAGTGTAGTGTTTAGAAGATTTGCCTTATGATTTTAACTGTAAATGTTTATATTTAATTTAATTTTATGGTTTTTTTTTGAGGAATCGGAGATCCGGGTTCGTTACCATTACACGTATATATAACCTTAAATATGAATCCTTTTTCTCCCTCCGGCTATGGTTTAGGAAGAAATATTAACCTTCAACGGGTCTAGCGCAGAAAGAAGTAGCAACCGCGAGAAAAAAAAATGATCCCTTTAGTATGGTGGTGGTGACGTAACATAACTGGCTTATCACTTATGTTTAAAAAGGATTATCAGTTCCTTTCTTAGTAATGGGTAAATGACCAGACCGGGTTTTATAACCTTCGACAATGGCCTATAGAAAGATTGGCAACCTACGGAGGCGAAAGAAATTGCCACGTTAATCATGTATAGAGATCACGCATGGCGTATAACTGACTTAATTTCGTTATGCGCTAATAAACATGGGAAAGATATCAAATAGCTCTGCAAATAGCAGGACAGACCGCTCATAACCTTGGATGGAAACGGGCCTAAAAAGATATGGCAACCTACTGAGGGAAAAAATTACTTTTTGGTCCATAGCTAACCGTTAACTCGAAAAGTATTTTCTTGGCTTCACTTTTGTTGAAACTGACTAATGCATGGAATAATAATGCAACACAAAAATTATTTAGAGAAAATGTATTGAAACAAGAAAGTGTACAATTTTACATATAGTCTTTGTAGATTTATAGCTATTACCATGTTGATTATCTCGGGCAGAGTCAGGTAAATGTCACAGATTCATTTATTTTTTTGGTTTTTATAAATTAGGTGGATCCTAAACAACACTATTGATGATATTTTCACTTATTTTGTTTTTTGTCCCTTTTTTGATATATTTCCGCATCGACATTGTAATGGTTCGCCGTCTTATTTGTTTTGACGATTATTTTTTTGATGTTTTCTCATGCACATTTTGAAGTTTTACTGATATTTTATTTTTGAGTTGATGTTTTTCTGTAAATAGATCCTCATTGGGAGTTTTGAATCCGTAAAGTTCGTATTTTTAACTTGTTAAACAAAAAAGAAAAATAATTGCCTTTGTGCGATCACTTTGTGTAACTCCCTGTGTCTCTTGTTAGGAATGAATATATTGCATTTTGGAATTTGACAGAATCCTTTTAGGGTCAGTGTAAGACGAGGAGGAGTTTGAATATTTGAAGGTTAGCATCATACCCAGCTAGATTGATCAAAAGCGTTCAATTAGAATGAAAAACAGCAACATCTTTTAGATCCGAGTTCGAATTACTTTAAAGTTTTTCATTACATTTTGAATTAATGCAATTACTGATATAACAGAAGTAGTCTGTATTGATTCAATGGAAGGTATGAACGACAATGATGTTTTGGGACCACGGAAGGAAAACCGGAACACGGCTTAGAGATAAAAAGATATATTAAACAAAAAGACGATAGGGTTAAGCTATATGTGCTAGTGTCCAATGGCAACTGGAATCGCCTAGAGTATTATATCGCATACTTTATATAGTCCTGGAAGAGTCCATGTTGTAGGTATGTTACGGTCTCACAACAGACATGAAGGGGTAAAACAGGTAACATGAAGACCCACTTCGCCCACAATTATTTTGGAGTTTTTTGACATTCAATTTGTCAGTGTGCTACCAGGAATGTAAAAGAGGATACATTTATAAAGCAATTGTTAAGTTTGGTGAAGCTTTTCTTCACTCCGTAGCGATAGGGCTGGGACCAAGTGTAGTATCTATTCTCATTTTTATTCAGTCGCAACTGTAATAGACTGGTGATGGGGATGTTCTAAGCTTAGCAGTTGCAGAAGGCCGAAACCGTCATACACACATTTAAGATCTAGCTCAATACTATATCGCAATTGATCCAGCGAGACAAGCTTACTAACCAGTATACCAAATCGAAGTACTCCCGACTGACTGATAATTGTATCAGAATGAATGATGACAGAGTAACCAAAGTCCTCACGTACCTACAACTTGATACTGGAGACCGGAATATAGGCACGCATGACTGAGGAATACGAACAAGCTGCAAGAATGCTCAGATATATTGCCTTGTGCCAGAATAAAAAAAAATGAAAAAGAATTAAAAAGGACGTTTTATGTGTCACTGCATCAGAATTCAACAATCCACCGGTTTTCTGTGTAATTCACGTTCGTTTCATTTACGATCTTCTCGAATACAGTATAAAATGTCTAATAATAGTGATAGCTAATAAAAAAACAGTAAATCAAAATATGGGAAACACTAATGTTAGTTTTTATTGTACGTTGCTTAAAAATAAAATAAATATGCTTAGAATATAGTTATTTGAGGCTAAAAACGACATGAATGTCTTCGATATAAAAACGACCTTTGAGAATCAATTATATTTGTAAATGTGCTCTTCAAGTTTATGAGGCGATATATAAATAAATAAATACACACGTATGCATATGGGTAAATATAATTCGGATAGTGTACAAACACACACACAGACACACACACACAAACACACACACCTGAATTTAAACACACATAATACGTATGCATATGTATATGTATGTATATATATATATATATATATATATATATATATATATATATATATATGTATATATATATATTGTATGTATGTTTGTGTGTGTATGTATGTATGGGGGGGGTCTGTGTGGGGGGGCCTGTGTCTGTGTGTGTGGACAGACATTGATACAGTTGGAAGTAGAGGACAGAGACAGAGAGGAGAGAGAGAGGGAGAGAGAGAGAGAGAGAGCGCAAGAAATAGATATGGCATTCCATTTCCTATTTTGTATATCTTGTTATTATATACACACGTATGCATTTCTAACCGTGAAGAATATATATATATATATATATATATATATATATATATATATGTGTGTGTGTGTATGTATATGTAGATTTATATATATATATATATATATATATATATATATATATATATATATATATATATATATATAAAGAGATTACTTATAAGTATCATTTTTCTGTATAGATCGATTATAATTTGCTTTAAGTACACATTTACACGAACTGAAACAAAATATATATATATTTATGTATGTGTGTATGTATTCTCACTTTTGTATCGATGTGTGGATTTGTTTATATTGGTTTTCTTTCGAACGTAAATTACATATTTGCTTCTGCCGAACCTAAAATTTATGGCTTCGAAGTCAAGAGAAATGGCAAGCTGCCAAATAAAATCGTTCGTAAAAGATGGGAAC